AAAAATTGAAGTAACTGAAATATTCATGGGGTAAATACAAATTTCTACTCTTTATTTATTTTATTATTATTTTTTTTGAGACAGAGTCTCACTCTGTCGCCAGGAGCCAGGCTGGAGTGCAGTGGTGTGATCTCGGCTCACTGCAACCTCTGCCTCCCAGGTTCAAGCAATTCTCCTGCCTCAGCCTCCTGAGTAACTGGGACTACACACCACCATGCCCAGCTAATTTTTGTATTTTAGTACAGACGGGGTTTCACCACATTTGCCAGGATGGTCTCAATCTCTTGACCTTGTGATCTGCCCACCTCCGCCTCTCAAAGTGCTGGGATTACAGGCATGAGCCATCGGGCCTGGCCAAATTTCTGCTCTTATTTTCTTACAATGCATTGGAAAAAAAATCTGCAAATAGCATTATGCTAAAACAGTACCATGATAATAATCAATTTATGAAATCTGTTATAGCTATCATTAAATTCTTGATAATGTCAACATTAGTTAATACTAAATCTTAATTTGAAACATTTAATAATTGAACTGTTAAAGGATGACAATTATGTGACTGACATTCTCATAGTTATACTTCTTGTGAGTTTACAATAGCCCAATGTGTTACCATTAACACGTTTGGGTTTCAGTTTTATTGTATTGTTTCAATTTATAGAGTTTACCATGTTTCCATAAATATATCTTCATTCAAAACATAATTTAACAATATAGTAATGACTCCATTGGTATTGGAATCTTCAATTAACTAGAGAAGTTATTTCAGCATCATAATAATTGAAGGGACACACATAAAAGTCATATAAGGGAATTTGGCCTTAAGCAACTGCCAAGGTTATAGTGTAAGTTCAAAACACATTCTATACACTTCTCCTCAGCTACATTTCTCTAAAATGTTAAATCATGTACAACTATCACCCTGAAGCGCTATAAATCATTGAAAATAAAATTTCATTTAATGTATTCTATTTGTTAAAGCAGGAAAGTACATCAATATATTTAAGAAAATTTCCCCAAAATGTATAAAATAAGTCTGATTGATTACAGCTAATTAAAAAATTAAACCATTTAATCTATTTGTACATTCAAACCTTTGCCACTAAATTAGCCTTTCTTTTTTCTGGGTGGCAGGAAGTTTGATACAGTGTACTGATTGTTATAGACTAGAATATTGAATTGTTACAACTATATGAGATCTACATATATTTCTACTTCCATGGATATATGTGTATGTATTGTAAAAATCACATATGTATAGTATGATGTTTAAAAACTCCAACTGTGGCAGTTTAAAGACTAATTCATTGCTAATCATGGCTTAATTCCTAAAACAGAACAGAGTCCTTTACAAGGTAACCAGGGAGATATGCCAATTTTGACTTCATTGCCATCCTGTTGAATGACTGTATTCATTCTCTTTAGATTTAAACTCTTCATTTTACTGTTCCTCAACACTCTTTATAGAATTCCAGCTTGCTTTTCACCTATCTTTTAACAGTTTAACATAGATGGCTGGATCAAGTCCATTGTTCAATTGTGTGAAGCTTAAAAAGCTCTGCAGTATTTTACTTACCATTGTATCTGGCTTCCCTGAGTGCTCTGCTCGCTGCATTTTACTCTACTCTGATTTCTAAAGCCATTTATGCCTATTCTTTCTGAAGACACTTGTTTGTCTGGGAGCTCAAATTGACTTATCCTCATTCTATTTCCTTAACTCGAAATGCACCATTAAGGTTGATTGAACTCTTTTAAAGCACTTCATATAAAATGAAAGGCCATAGGAAAGTAGGCTACCAGTGTTTGTAAATACCTGTTTTAAACCAAATTGATAGAGGAATAAGAAATAATTAGAAACTTTAAAATGTTATTGATATATCTATATATTTTACTGATTAGTCTTTTTTGGTTGTTATTTGAGAGACAAACTTGTAAAACATTCTGAGAGGGAAGAGAGAGGAAGGGCTGTGTTATAATTAAAGATGGAACAAATAGTAGAGGCAAACCACTAAAATTATTGAAAATATTTTCTGGAAAAAATAATATTCTACAATAAGCAAGAAGAAAAACATGGAGCTCTTGGTTAAAATCTACAGCTTTTAAATCACTTAAACCCCACTGGAAACAAACAAAAATCATATCACCGTATCTTTTTTCTATTTAAATTATAGTTATTGTTATTTTTGTGGTTTACAAAAATAGGAAGATCACATTAATTTCTTTTTACTATTTATAATGTTTATAACTGCTGGTATAAAATATTTGCAAACATTTATAAGTTAATTACAATTATAAAATTAAAAACCAAATGAAAATGTAAAATGCTATTTGTTAAAAATTCTTCATATCCATTTCTATTTTAATGTTTGATCAAAATGTAACTTTTTATTTTGGAAAAAACTATTTTATCTCAACAGATTTTTATTCAGAACATATAGAAATACTGTTATTTTTAATGATAGAAAAAATCTGTTCTAATTTAAAATTTAGCATTTCAGAATCATTAGAATTTTATATGGAAAATGACAATGTTGATAAACTGGCTTTTTGATTTACCTAAAAAAGCATATAGTTAAGGTAGTGCTTAATAAAATACAAGAGAAAAATAATTTGACTTCAGGCAACTAATACTTTCAAAGCTACTTCTGAGTTCCTTTGAATATGCTATTCTATTTTTAGATTACAACATTGTATGTCTTTGCTAGTAAATCATTCATTTTATCTTAATTTTAAGGAAAAATCATTACCAAAACAAAAATCTGAAGATAAAAAATGCATAAATTAAGTCTGAGAAATGTCTTTTGAGTAGTTTACAAAACAATTTTATTCACAATGGAAAGAAAAACAGTAATATTTGAATGGTATAATTATGATTTTTGTAAAATGAAAACTTATAGAAATAAAATTACTAATAAAAAAACTGGGGCATTTCTTGCTGATATAGTTCTAAAAGACAACTGAGAATTTAAATTGTAATTTAGCATAGCGTTTCTTTAAAAATATTTCAATAATGGAAAAGGGACAACAATGTATAAAAATGAACAAGTAGTTAGCACTTGCAGGCGGCCCAGAAGCTCTGAGTTTTATAGCAAGGCATCAGAAAAACCAGCCAGTTTCTAGCCCATAACCAAACTGATTTGGTTAGCTTCACTGAATACCAAAAGAAATTGGCCATAAGCGCTTGCTTCTGCTAATATAATATTATAAAAAACTTACCTCCCTTTATGTAAGTAATATTTAATTGAAGCCAAGAGCTTAGAGCATATCTAAGAGTAAGATCTAATGTTTTAAAATATTAACTTTTCATAATTTATGATAGCTTATGAAGAGTGAAATGGCACGTTACTTAAATATAAGGGTTATTTGTTAACTAGTCAGGAGTGCCTGCAGACACACATACATAGTGCACACTAAATATTCTAGGGAAAAATAGATTCACAATCAGTTAATTTTGTATCAATAGTCAAAAAAAACTAAGACTAGAAAAAAGAAGTAAATGGCCAGACATGGTGGCTCATGACTGTAATCCTAGCACTTTGCGGGAGCAGAGACAGGAGGATTGCTTGAAGCCAGGAGTTTGAGATCAGCCTGGGCAACATAGTGAGACCCCATCTGTACCAAAAATTTTTTTAAAATAGAAGTAAATAATAAAGTTCTTATTGAACAATTAATCATAATCTTCACATACAGAAATCAGATTAATTTCATACTATCTACATTCAGTTCAGCTTTGGAGGCTTCTGCTCTATAAAGTGCCTTAATTTCTAGCTTACCAGGTAGTTTGTGAAATTGTCTTTAATGAAAACAAGTTATATAATCATATATTTGACTACTTACAAAATAAATCAAGACATTTGCTGGGAGAAGAGACATAATAACTTTACTGGAGAAATTATACATCTTAGCAAAATATCTTGATGAATAAATAGTTTACAGTGTTTTACAATTTTTTTTTTTTTTTTTTTTGAGACGTAGTCTCACTCTGTCACCTAGGAGTGCAGTGGTACCATCTCGGCTCACTGCAACCTCTGCCTCCCTGGTTCAAGTGATTCTCCTGCCTTAGCCTCTCGAGTGTGTGCCACCATTCCCAGCTAATTTTTGTATTTTTAGTAGAGATGGGTTTTGCCATGTTGGCCAGGCTAGTCTTGAACTCCTGACCTCAGGTGATCCGCCCAACTTGGTCTCCCAAAGTGCTGGGATTACAGGTGTGAGCCACTGCACCTGGTGGTGGTGTAATCCCAGCTACTCAGAAATTCAGATGAAATTTAATTAACGATTTATAAAAATTATAAATAGCTCAAAATTTAACAATGTGTACATAAAAATCAAATGAAGATCTCAAATATATTAAAAGTCCATAGGAAAAGTGGCTAAAAGAAAATATGCCAAAATGCTAAGTGGATAACAGTGTAAGTTATGTTTTTTCTGCTTTATATATTTCTATTCTGAACATTTTTCTCCAGTGAAACCTATTACCGTTATTTTTGCTACTTAATTTGTTATTTTAAGACATTTTTCATTATAAAAGTAACATTCAGCATTTAATTTATACAAAATCATAAAAGAAAATAAACAGATGAAGCCAATTTAGTAATAAATAGTGTAGAGTAGACTGTCACAACACTGTAATTGAAAGCAGTTGTCAAAACAAAAGGGCAAAAAAGACATCTTCTGAACATCTTAAGAACTGCATAGTTGTTTTTAAACAAAGGATCCTATTACCTCGTAAGTGTAATAGTTGTTTAAAAACCACACGTTATGAACAGCAAAATCAATCTATAATTAGGTTTGAAATTTTAAATGTCACATGATTAAATACAGACATACAGCATTTAAAAAAGAAAAATACAAAATTGTTGCATATACACTGGAATTATATCATATCCAAAATACCTTTAAAACTATTTCCATACAGATTATCAAGTATACATATTTTGGTTAAAATAATTTATTTTTGTGAAGGAAAGTATAAAATATTATGAAACTATGTGTACTGATGAACCAATAACTTTAAAATTTTAAATAGAATACTTCATGGATCATGGAGCTCATTTATATCAAAATATGACTGGCAATTTAGTTATCTTTAAATAACAAGCAAATTCAAAACCACATTTGATGGATTTGTGACATGTCCTAGTACTATACAATGTAATAGTTTAGAAAAATTCTTTTCAGTGAAATATAATTATTTAAGGTTATATTTTTAAGTGTGTCCACTCAGTTTGAACATGTGTTCTCTTCAGCCTGAAACTACTTGTAAAATTATATCACTGTAGGTGTAATTAATGATTTGTATACTAAATCAGACTCTTTTTATTCTTAGAGTATGAAAGACTGGCTGCACCCACAGTTAGCCACATTTAAAAACTACTATTGATGCCCACAATTTGCATCTCTAAGCAATTCTGAGGGCAGATCTGATTTGAGGGAATTTTTTTTTTTTTAAATACAGTCCTAAAAACCAATCTGTAGTTCAACTAGCAGAACTCATCTTGCTTTAGTAATAGTTATGTTGGGTAAGAAATGTGCTTTAGTTTTATGTAATCCCAAATGAATATTCTACAAATGAAAATATGCTTATTTCCTGAAGTTGTCTTTTCTTAATATCTTCCTATGACATGCCATAATGACTAAATTTATACATAAATGTTTCTACTGAATTTATACTAAATGTTTCTAATACCAGAACTAAGCATTCAATTCTCTGGACTTTGTTTCATGCCACTTTTATCTTTTCAAATTGTTGTCTGATATAATAGTTCATGATTTTTATAATATAGAAATTCAAACAAATAACTAAAGATAACTATAAAGAAAGTTTAAGAGGTGATATTAAATCAGGTTCACAAGAGTGATTATTTTCATATGGAACTGAAGTGTTTCAGTAACTTAAGTAACATGATTATCTTTTTGTTGTTGTTGTTTTCCACTCACCACTGTCTGCTAGTTTTTGCACAACTACTAAACAGAGGTAAGTTTCTTGGTGTATGCTCATTTCTCTATATGCAGTTACATTCGATTTGATCTTGGAAAGTTGCTCCCAGAAATTCTATAAGAAATAAGATTTAATAAGTCAAATAGTGGTGACTTAATTTTGTAATGGATCAGCTAACTTAAGGTAATTCTGCAATAAATAATTTCTGTATTTTAGATGTACGCAATTTCAAAGAGACAAAGTGATTCTATTTGTGGCTATTTAAAAATCCTTTGAACTCAGTGGGACATTGCTGATTACAGCAGGAGGAGTCAGTGCAGCAAGTGCCAAGCCTAAACTAGATCTGCTGCTGGGATAGGTCATTTCAACAGATGAGCGGGAGCATGGATGCAAGGAAGATAGGGACAGGTAATACTTGGGAATCAAAGGAAACAAGTATTGAGCAGCAGAGTGTATTCTTAATGAGAACTAGCAAGGTTCTTAGGCTTTGAGCTGGTCTCTAAGGCTACATTCAGACTGCAGAAGGAGGCAAATAGGAATTTTTACAAAATTCTTAGCCTTCACAATTTCAGAGTTTAATTTATATGCTGTTTAAAGTATAAGTGAACTGCTTTGCAAATTGAGTTGAGTAGAGTGAGTTGGGAGAGGATACAATTAAAGTAGTTCCATGTAACTGTTTCATTGTTCCCTCACTAGTGAGCACTAGTACTCTGAATTATTTGACCTTGATAGCCATTTCTAAGCCTTTTTGAATTATTATGTAAATAGACTGGACTTTGGGAAAGGTTTGGTGAATGTGGGAATTAAGCCTTTTGCTATCTGATAGTTTTTTCTAGTTCCCAGAGTAAATATATAATAGTATATAACAATATTTCCTGTTTTTATACACGACTAGCAAATATGAAGAGCACTGTTTTAATGATGAGAAATGATATTAAAACACACAGAAAATAGCTTTACCTTCTCTCTTCTTGGTTGCTCTGGTATATTTGTGCAGTTGGAGATGCAATATTCTGGTGTGAAAAAAGAAATGGAGAGATACTTATCCCTCTCAGTTGCTGAAAAGCTATTTCTGCATGGATGCTCCAAGAATTATTTGTCAGAATCCCAGCATTCTTGTTTTTTCTGTCTGAAACTAGAAATTTGAAAAATTAAAATTATGAAACAATGAGAAACATTAAGTAACATAACCATTAAGCAATATAGTTTGTCCTTCAGCTGAATGTATGTTATACATATTTTATAAAGTGAATTTAAAATTTCAAATAAAAATATAGAATTAGAATGTATTTTTAGCACTTAATGTAGCTTAAATTTCTGTGAGCTAGTCAATCAATTTGATTTTTTCTAGATAATATTTTAAACATAAATATCCAGACCTACATGCTGGATATTTATGTTTAAAATATTATCTGTACAGATAAAGTGACCATACTTTTAAAAATAAAAATTGGGGCAGCACAATCCAAAAATAGGAAAGAGATTACAGGATTTTTTCAGTGCATAACAAATCTTGAAGAAAGTAACAGTCATTCTTCAGAAATATGGTGGGTGTGGTTCCAGACCATTGCGATAAAGTGAGTCACACACATTTCTTGGTTTTCCAGGACATATAAAAGTTATGTTTACAACTATAGTTTATTAAGTGTGCAATAGCATTATGTTTAAAAACAATTACATATTTTAATTTAAAAATACTGCTAAAAATGCTAACAATCATGTGAATCTTCAGCAAGTTGTAATCTTTTTTCTTTTTTTTGTTTGTTTGTATTTTGTTTTCTTTAGCGAGTTGTAATCTTTTTGCTGTTGGAGGGTCTTGTTTCAGTGTTGATGGCTGTTGACTGATCAGGGTGGTGGCTGCTGAAGGCTGGGGTAGCTGTGGCAATTTTTTAACATAAGACAACAATGAAGTTTACGGCATAGAACAACTCTTCCTTTCATTAAAGATTTCTGTGAACAACGTGATGTTTGATAGCATGTTTTCCACAGAAGTTCTTTCAAAATTGGAGTCCGTCCTCTCGAACTCTGCCACTGCTCTATCAACTAAGTTTATGTAATATTTGAAATCCTTTGTTGTCATTTAAACAGTGTTCACAGAATTTCACCAGGAGTAATTTTCATCTCAAGAAACCACTTTCTTTGCTCATCCATAAGAAGCAACCCCTCATCCATTCAAGTTTGAGCATGAGATTGCAGCAATTCAGTCACATCTTCAGGCTCCACTTCTAGTTCTCTTGCTGTTTCGACCACAAACATAACAAATATAATAATAATGAAAAAGTTTGAAAGTTATGTCCCCACTGAAGTTCTGAATCCCTCAAAGTCATCCAAACTCCCATTAGGGTTGCTATTTTGACCTCCTCTCATGAATTACAAATGTTTTTAATGGCATCTAGAATGGTGAATCCTTCCCAAGCAGTCTTCAATTTACTTTGCCCATATCTATCAGAGGGATCATTATCTATGGCAGTCAGAGCCTTACAAATGTATTTCTTAAATTATAATACTTGAAGTTACTCCTTGATCCATCAGCTGCAGCATGGATGTTGTGTTAGCAGGCATGAAAACAACATTCATCTCCTTGTACTTCTCCATCAAAGTTATTAGGTGACTAGGTGCATTGTCAATGAGCAGTAGTCTTTGGAAAGCAATTTTTGTCTCAGCACTGGGTCTCAACAGTGGGCTAAAATACTTAGTAAACCATACTGTAAACAGCTGTGCTGTCATCCAAGTTTTGTTGTTCCATTGATAACGCATAGACAGAGTAGATTTAGAATAATTCTTAAGATCCCTAGGAGTTTTACAATGGTTGAGCAATGATTTCTTTAAATTGAGCAATGGCTTCACCTTAAAGTCACCAGCTGCACTAGCCACTAACAAGACAGTCTGTCCTTTAAAGCTTTGAAGCTAGGCATTGACTTCTCCTTTCTAGCTATGAAGGTCCTAGATGGCATCATCTTCTGATATAAGGCTGTTTCATCTACATTGAAAATCTCTTTTTTAGTATAGCCACTTTTATCATTTATCCTAGCTAGATCTTCTAGATATCTTGCAGCAGCTTCTACATCAGCACTTGTTGCTTCACCTTATGCTTTTATGCTGTCTGATATAATATTTTGTGATTCTTTCCTTAAACCTCATGAAGAAGACTTTGCTAGCTTCAAAATTCTCTTTTGCAGCCTTCTCACCATGCTCAGCCTTCATAGACTTGAAGAGAGTTAGGGCCTCTGGATTAGTCTTTGGCTTAAGGGAATGTTGTGGCTGGTTGATACTATTCCAGACCACCTTTATCCAAATCAGCAATAAGACTGTTTCAATTTCTTATCATCCATGTGTTCCTTGGAGTAGCATTATTAATTTCCTTCAAGATTTTTTTTCCTTTGCATTCACAATTTGGCTATCTGTTGGGTATAAGAGGCCTGCCTTTCAGCCTATCTTGGGTTTCAACATGGCTTCCTCACTAAGCTTAATTGTTTCTAGCTTTTAATTTAAAGTGAGAGATGTGAGATTCATCCTTCATTAGAGGTCACTGGTTATTAATTGACTTAAAAAGATTACTGATCACAGATCACCATAACAAATATAATAATAATGAAAAAGTTTGAAATAGTAAGAGAATTACCAAAATGTGATACAGAGACACAAAGTGAGCACGTTTTAAACATGGCACCAACAGACTTGGTTGATGCAGGGTTGTCACAAACCTTCAATTTGTAAAAAACTCAGTATCTGAAATGCAATAAAGTGAAATGCATTAAAACAAGGTATGCTTCTCCTGAGAAGGAAGTTATTAAGATGAGTTGATGGGTAAACTAATAAAAAATATAAAAAGATAATGACGTTCCTGAAAATGACTTTGTTCTGTTAAGGAGGAAATAACAATTTGGTATGCCCAATTTTACTGACAGTTGTAGACAAATGCATAACAATCTTCATTATGATTAAAACTTGGAAGCCAGAATGACATATACGTATGAAAAATGAGACAAAATATAACATCTTAATAGAGTAAATTATGCTGGATTTTTTCCACTGGGTTTCTTTAAAAAACTGTAATCACATGGAACAATCTACTATTTTTTGATAGTAGGCTCTTAGGTCATTTTATAATCATTATGACGTTCAGTTTTATTGTCTCTGAATGGTCTGAGGACAAAGCAGGAATTCAGAAGGAATGGAAGAGGTGAGCCCTCAGAGGAGTAGTTACCCCCAATTTTGCCAAAATGATAACCAGAGATGTGGAATTAGGGAACAGGCTTATTCTAAACTTGAACTAAAATTTATAAAGCAGAATAAACCACTTCCATACTTGTTCTTTTAATATACTCCCTCTTTTAAAACTCTACCTCTTGAAGCTCTTCTTCAGTATTTGCTTCATGAATATTTTCTTATGATTTCAAGGGAAAGTGAGATCTCTCTGCAGAATATCCTTGGTACCCCAAGATTCTGTTATTATGTTCTTACACCTCTGATTTCCACTTTTAGCAGGATGTACTAATGAACTGGTTTTAGTAGTTGTTCGCTCTGACATCTATGCAATGAAATAAAAGCTTCAGAGAGATATGTCAGGAAATAATTGTTCAAGTATTGCAAAGTTCACATTGTAAATAAGCAAATGCTTAGTCACAACATACTAGTAGCTGAGTACAAAAGAAAACGATAATAAAACTAAAAATAATAAAACCATAGTCTCTGAAATGAAAATGGCCACAGGAAACTTGAACAAACATGCAATTTTAGGAAATGTAAGGAATTTTAAGTAATATTAGAAATTAAAGTGAGATTTTTATTTCAAGTGAAGTGATTCTTTTACATTCTCTCTGAAATTCTTTGTCAAAATACCTTCAACTTCAGGAGTTAAAGTGATGTCAGATCCCAAGTAATGGCTGAATCCACCAGGCAGAATCACATTTGTTATCTTTATGGGAGAAGTTTTCACTTGGCCAAATGATCTGCCATCCATAGGAGAGTTGGTAACAGGAATAAGCTACATAATAAAATAAAAGTTAATAATATCTCATCTCCAAAACTCAGATCAATAGGCTTAATCCTTATAACAAGTCCAAGATGACAACATTTTTTTAGTCAGGAGTTATCTGCTTGCCTAAATGCAGAATTGGTACTAGGCAAAACCTGTAAAATCAGCAGAGCTTTTAGGGGAGTTAACCTCCCCCAGAACCTTGTGTCCTTTTTTTTTTTTTTTTTTTCAGACTGCATTGCACCATCACTAGAATCTAGTGTTTGATGACCACTCCTCATTTCCAATGGGTCTTAACAAAGTAAGTATGGAATTAAGAAAATGAGAATTAAAACTTCCCCATTGTAATGCTTTTTCTTTTTTGTGTGTGAAGAGAATTTCTGGAAGGTAAATGTTATTTCTCGAAATCTTTGTATTCTTCACATTACCTAATCAGATGACTTGCAGTTAGTTTTCAAAACAAACAGTAAATAAAATGGGAACTAAGAGAAGTATCTTATAATCAATTTTAGTGAATGTGGTAAAACTCTAAATGTTATTTGCATTTCACACCTGCTGAGGATTAAGAGGCTTTTGTAAGAATTTCAGGAATCAGCAAATAGAGGAGAAAAATATTTTAGGCAGGGGACTCTTGCTTCCCCTAGAAATTTATACCTTCTCTGCTTTCGTTAAGACGGACCTTGTTTATACTTTAAAATGTGTGACTTCTGAACATACAATTCAGCTTATCTAGAGATGTAGGCCTTTTCTATTTGTGTAAAATTACCTGTTTACCTCATACTTCAGTAAGTGTTACCAAGAATGCTGCATTGTAATGAATGCTAAGCTATTAGTCCTTTTACTAAAGCTGGTCAGTTCTAAATTCCCTAACAAATTCTTTTGTGGGAGTTTCTTCCCATCACTAATCTAGAATGCTGTCAAATTTTCTTCTGAAACCATACCACCAAAATGTTTTGGTTTAAAAGAACTTTAGATTTCATTTATTTCATCCTTATCTGCTGTTAAAAAGGAAGGCCAGTAGCAACTAAAACAAATACAAACACATTTGACTGATAAACTTCAGAAGTTTTCTATACTTGTGTCTCCTGAACAGCCAGTTAAAATAAATAATGGCTTAAGTTTGTTCCAGTCCCTTGAATTTTAAAATAAATTTCTCTAAAATAAAGATTTCAAATACCCACTTTATTTTACTAACTATATATAGATAAATTAAAAAAATTTATTTACATACAGAATAACTAAGTGGAAAGACGGTTATATTCCTATATATAGCACTGATTTAAATGGCAAGGATGTGAATCTATGGTAACTCAAGATGACATCATAGTTCTATAAGGAAAAAATCTGAGTTCACTATATAAGAAATAGAAAAGAATATCCAACAAACAAACCCTGTAGTTGAAGTATTCATTATTGGTTGAATTTCGAGTTATACCAGATTAAATGCTAAATTAAACCAATGTTTAAAGAATTTTATATGAAAACTGGGATCTTCAAAGTTCTAAGTGGTTACTTTATGTCTTTTCTATTTAGACTACATTATCTTAAAACAATTTATAAATTTTAATGTGGCAATTTTCGTAGGTCTTTCACTGGAGCCCTCACATATGTGGTATGGCAGGAAGAATAATGCCCCTCCCCCAAATATACCTAATTCCCAAAACCTGTGAATACCTTGCCTTACACAGCAAGGTACTTTGCAGGTGGATTAAGGATTTTGAGATGGGGAAATTATCCTGGATTATCGAGGTAGAAGGAAGCAGAAGGTCAGAGAGAAGGGGAAGTATCATGGAAGCAGAGGTCTAAGTGATGGCATTGCTGGATGACAGCCATGAGCCAAAGAATGCGGATGGCCTCTAGAAGCTGGCAATGGCAAAGAGTAAATTCTCTCCTAGAGCTTCCAGAAGAAATGCAGCCCTGCCAATATTTTTTGTTCTTTTCAAGGCAGGGTCTCACTTTGTCACCCAGGCTGGAGTGCAGGGCACAACCTTAGCTCACTGCAACCACCACCTCCTAGGCTCAAGAGATTCTTTCACTTCAGCCTCCTGAGTAGCTGGGACTACAGGCATGTGCCATCATGCCTGGCTAATATTTGTATTATTATTATTATTATTATTATTTTGTAGAAACATTTCTCCATGTTACCCAGGGTAGACTTGAACTCAGCTTCCCAGAGTGTTGGGATTACAGGCATGAGCTGCCAAGCCTGACCCCTGCCAATATTTTTTTATTTTAGTCCTTTAATACCCGTTTTCAGACTCCTGAACTCCACAACTGTAAGATAATATATGTTATTTTAAGCCACTAAATTTGGGGTAATTTGTTGTAGCAGCAATAGGAGACTAATACAGGTGGCATACATTTTTCAAGAAGTGACTTGCTTCAGGAATATAAAAAAGGAAAAAGGAAAGAAGGCTTAAATCACTGAACTAAATTTTATTTGACCATTTGCTCTCTTTTGAAAGACTGGGCCTGTGACAAGGATTTGAGTAGATGACATTAGATGATACACTTTTTTTGTTACATCATATAGATCAATGACTAAAGTTCTTTTCAGAAACCATAGTTTTTAGAAAAAATTTTATAGATAGAATCCACTAATGAGTCAATTTCCTTTGCCTAAACTAAATAATCTTTTTTAAACATTGTACAACTTTTTAAGTCATGCAAGCCTCTGTAGCTACTTTGGCCTATAATAGAAGTACTTTGGTTAATCAAAAAATGTCAAGATTAATTTTAAAAGTGTAAATTAAAAAAGTAAGGGGGCTGGGCACAGTGGCTCAAGCTTGTAATCCTAGCATTTTGGGAGGCTGAGGTGGGCAGATCTCCTGAGGTCAGGAGTTCGAGACTAGCCTGGCAAACATGGCAAAACCCCGTCACTACTAAAAATACAAAAATTAGCCTGGCATGGTGGCTACTCATGAGGCTGAGTCAGGAGAATTGCTTGAACTAGGGAGGCAGAGGTTGCAGTGGGCCAAGAACACACCACTGCACTCCAGCCTGGGCGACAGAGTGAGACTTCGTCTAAAAAATAAAAAATAAAAAAAAATAAGGGAATCAATAAGAAGTCTAATTGATATTCATCTTTAAAAAATCAAATATGTAAAAGTACATGCATTCATCATTCTTTTGATGAAGGACCAAGGCCTTTTCTGTAGGCAAGGATCCCTTGATTGGTATTTTTTGATTGTTTTTGGAGACATCATACCCTTATTTTGCCTAAAATTTCCAGTTTTGGTTTCTTTAAAATAGCAACAATTTAAAGGCATGTGGAAAAAATCTGAACACAAGAATTTGTCTAGCTTTTAAAAATAATTTCCCTACATATTTTCTCTGAATTTTTATCATTTTCTTCATATTTTAGTTTTTTCTCCCACATCTAATTTGACACTATGGGGGGTGGTGTTGGAAGGGGTGGGGAGAGACTGCCCGTTATCCAGACTTTCCAAAGTATCCCATTTGGTTTTCATAGACAAATAGAAATAATAATTTAAAATTTACACTTCAAGTTCTTGTGTTTATTTAAAATAACAAGAACTAACATACAGTTAGCTCTTGATAAGTATATGAATGTACTACTGAAGGGAGAAGTGGACTAGAGAGGAGCCTACAAGTATCAAAAGTTGAGTGTGTTCTGGAATTGGAGAGTGTCACCAAAATTAATCCGGTGAGTTCAGCGAAAGCCTGTTAGGAGAGCATATATGGTAGTCCTATCTCTTTCTATTAAGTATATTGTTTTTAAAGTCACCTCTTTTCATGGACTCTAATATCCTTGGTCTCTGGTTTTCACTTACATCAGAGATTCATTTATATTCTCTAACCTGGTCCAGGTTTTTATAACATCTCTCTTGGATTATTCTAAAAGCCTCTTAGCTGTTTTTCCTTCTCCCTCCAGTCTCTCTTTTTTTTTTTTTTTTTTTCACAAATCTGCAGTGCTTTAATAATGTTACTTCTCTGTTCAGAAACCATAGATTTTCTGTGTTAAATTTAGTCTTTAGAAGATGGTCATGAAGAAACTAGGTGATCAAAGACAGAATTTTCAAATGACATGCTTTTCTTATTTCCTCTCTCTTTAATCTCTTTCCTACCATGATCAGATACATTTTAGGGCTCCTGAGTAAAAAGCCCAATTATCCTGACAAAACACAAGAATAGAGGCACACATCTTTCTTAGATAAACTACATAATCCAGGGAGTTGTGTTCAGAATTCCTTCCTTCCCTTTTTCTCTGCCTAAATGGAAATAGTTTTATTGTTAGTTTCTATTTATGTATTAAGTGATATGTTACAGTTTCCTGTGTTCTAGCATCATCCGACATATTGAGCACACAAATATTAAATAATTTCCCTTATGTTAGAGTATGAAGTATGTTATTGTTCCCTAATACGTGTGTGTGTGTGTGTGTGTGTGTGTGTGCACATGCACATACTCTATTCACCAAATCAAGCTGCCTTTGACAGAAATCACTTAATAGATACTAAGAATATCCACATTAAAAACACCATAGGTTTAAACATTTAAGTCAAAAGATATAATGTAATATTCATTAACTAATAATTAATGTGCTTCTAAAGGAAAATTGTAAGTAATATATTACCGAATTCTTCTTTGCTTGTAGTTCAGCGAGGTGAAATTCAGCTTTTGCTCTATCATCTGAATTCACAGGAATTTTATCTAACATCTGTAAGTTAGGCAGTCGAAATATGAGCATGTGGCGATGTAGCATTTTTCTACAAATCTGAATAAAGTTAAAAATAACAACTTACTCCTACAAAACTTTTATTTCAAAGATTAACCTGTATAGAGAAGGAAATTTAGCATAGGCAGCAAAGAGGACAAATAATAGCCAACTTGTAGTATTAGAGGTTACAGATAATGAGCTCCTTTTTTGGGGTACCATTTAGAGATTCAGTCTCCTTTTAAAATAACAGTATTGTTCACTAACTATGGGCAATTCAAACTCATGAATAGGATTACATTATGGAAGTTCACTTAAAAGTACTAGTTTGAAACATATTTTCCCATAGGCACTATCTAATTAATTCACACACACCTACTGAATTATATGATCCATCTCTTCATAGTATCAACCTACTCTAAAAATCTGAGAGATTTAACAAAGTTGGTTTGAGGTTGTTCACTTCAGAAGGGTCTGCTTGTTTGCAAGGATAGCTGTTGCTGGTGTTTGGTATTTGGTGTTTTGAGAATGTTCCCACCATTCTTTAATTGATAAGGGTAGTTTGCTGTGCTTAGACTATTAATACAAACGATATGACTTATGCTCCTGATTTCCTTCTGGGGTCTGGAGTTTTGCTACGTGATAGGAAGAAGGTGCCTATGTAATCATCCCCCAACAAAATCATTGAACGCTGAGTCTCTAATGGTCTTCCTTGGGCAAAAACATAACATACAAGTTGCTACACTTGTTGCTGTGTAAAGAGTGTGCTCTGTGTGACTCCTTGTGGAAGAGAAGGCGCATAAGAAAGCCTGCCCGTGGATTCCTCCAGAATATCCCTGTGTCTCCATCCCTTTTCATCTGGCTGTGTATCTTATTATGTCACTGTAATAAATCTTAGCCATGAGTACAATTGTATGCTGAGTCTCATGAATCGTCCTAGCAAATCTCTGAATGTGAGGGTGATCTTGGGGATTGCTGATACAGATAGTATGCGGCAAACAAAAAGAAAGAAAATAAGAAACAAACTATCAAGAGAGAATAAATAAACTATCTTTAAAAAAATATATAGATTATATATACATGAATGGAGAAAGATCTCTAATACATAAAATCAAGTAAAAAAAAAAAAAAAAGACTTGATTGCATTGTAGACCACAAAGCAAGATTCATAAATACCAAAAAATTGTGATTTCCTCTGATTCTTCTGACTAAAATATAACATTAGAAATAAATATCAGAGATAACTAGAAACACTCTATAGATTTGAAATTAATGTAGACACACACATCTCCCTCAATAACTCATGAGTTAAAGAAGAAATCCTTTGGGAAGTAGAAGATTTTAAGAAATAAAAAAAAATATTACGTATCAAAACGTTTAGGATGTTGCTAAAGCAGCACTTTATAACCTAAAATGTATTGACTGATTCTGAAAAGAAATTGAAAATTAATGAGCTAGGTATGCTACTTAAGACTAACTTCCTTCCTTCCATCTTCCCTCCCTCCCTCCCTCCTTCCCTCCCTCCCTCTCAGTTTTTTTCTTTCTTTCTTTTAAAGAGTTAGGGTCTCACTCTCTTGCCCAGGCTGGAGTGCAGTGATACAGACATAGTTCACTGTACCTCAAACTTCTGGGCTCAAGTGATTTTCCCACCTCAGATTTTCAAGTAGCTAGATCTACAGGTGTACACCACTACACCTGGCTAATTTTCAAATTTTTTTGTAGAGACGAAGTCTTGCTATGTTGCCTAGGCTGGTCTCAAACTCCTGCCCTCAAGATATTCTTCTGTCTCGCCATCCCAAAGTGCTGGGAAATAATTTTTTTGAAGGGCAGACTCCAATAAGCTAAAAGAAGGTAATAATAGTGGAAATTAATGAAATAGAAAACAAAATAATAACACAGTTGGTGAAGCCAAAATATGGGTCTTTAAAGAAACTATTACAATAGACAAACTTATGGCAGGATTCACGAGGAATAAAATGAAAAAGAAAAATTGACCATTTTAGGTATAAAAAAGGTGACAAAAACATGGATATGGTGAACATTTTAAAAATTCACAAGAGGATTTTGGTTCCAAATGGTAGCAAATAGGCAAGTTGTTTTTTCACCCCCAATAAAAAACTGAAAAATAATATAAAGTACTGAGATCTTCACCAGCAACAACCCAGAGTTCAAGAATGAGGATAAGACAGTTCCCAGGGCCACAGAGAAGTAGAAAAACTCTTAGCAGATGGCAGGAGAACCAGCCTTCCACG